GTTTTTGGAAACCGGAGTCATCAGGTCTTCGTCGTTCTGTTTATTGCTCGAAAGTTCCATTTTTGACCTTTCGTTGACAAACTTATATTTTACTGTTTAATTTGCCACATTTGATAACCCAGTAACTTTTTTGATACGACGTCGCTCAAGTATCCATGAATATGCTTCCAGTATACAGATATTACAATTTTGAGTACACAGAAAATAAATTTAAAAAGTTTGTCGCAATCATTATTTTTAAAGTAAATAATTCTACATAGATGTACAGGAGGAAATAATGTATAATTGATTTTATACAGAAGAAAAAAATTCGGCATGCTAAGGGAGGAATTTTACGTTTATGTATGCAATAATTCAACCTTTAACAACTATCTCTTAAGTTTTTGCTTAGGTCGATTTGACATATAAGTGCCAAATTATGTGGTTAAGCTTACACACGGGATAAATCTTTTCAATATTCAGAGGAATACACCGAACCATATAAGTCCTATTTTAATAACTTCGGAAGCTGAAATATATTAAGCGTTCGTATAATCTCCTTCCTCCCGCCTTCGTTTCATTAAGTTTCCTTATAGTCAGGAATATTCCTCGGTAAAACTCATAATGACACACGAAGTTGTTTACGAGGTCGTGAAATAGATAGACATCCCGAGTCAAAGTTTTGTACCGTCAGCCTGCTTTACGTAAGGCAAGATTTACGTTAACTCCCCGACACTTTGAAAAACTTTACGAGTTTAAGTACTTTTCGTATCAGATGTCTCGGAGGTACGAGAAACCGGAAAATACGCATGGCAAGTAGGCACTGCGTAAGAGAGTAGTTTCTATCCCGATAGGATAGCCGAAAATATTATCAGGGATTTTATCAAATTATAAACAAGCTCACATAGATATCGCCAAAATCTACTCTCGCAGGACTCGGCGATAATAAAATATTATTTGGCCACAATAAATATGTGAAATGAAACAAATAATTTCTTTATAAGAAAATTATCTTTCGTTACAAACAAATTTTTTATTTAAGATAAAGACTTAATGACACGAAGGCGGGAAGGAGAAGATTATACGAACGCCTAATATATTTCAGCTTCCAAAGTTATTAAAATAGGACTTATATGGCTCGGTGTATTCCTCTGAATACTGAAAAGATTTATCTCGTGTGTTAGCTTAACCACATTCGTTGAAGAGTCTAACAATCGTACTTATTAATCGTAACATTAGTTTCTTTGGAGCATGCCAATGATGAAATTTATCAAATAAATGAAATAAAATTTATTAAATTTGAAGAAATGTTTTTCTCAGTGTACACTATTTTTTACTTTTGAACCCTAATTCCCCATAGCGGCACGGCATGTGTGCCCTGGTGATTCTTAGGTAAAAATTACATTCATAATTTTATTTTTCACAGATTATTCATAGATTATTGATAATAAAATCACCACAGGCAATTTTAAACTACAAATACTTCAAATTCTGTGAATTATACAGTTCCACAAATTTTGAATTAAATATTCCGCTAAAGAGAGCGTGGTAACGGGTTCAAAGGGTCCAAAGAGTTAACTCTTTGCGGTCCAAAATGTTTGCGACTCTCCTTCTCAACCGATCTATAGAAATTCATTCAGCTCGCGACAATGTCACACAACATTTGCATTTATTTCAATAATTCAATGTTTAATTAATGCAACGATGCGGATATTTATAGTAATATACAGAAAAAATGTTCGGTTGAGTTTATCTGACAATGAACAAACCAAATATGTTTTGGCTAAAGGAAACAGAATTTCTGTTTAGAATGAGAAATTCTGTTTCCTTAACCCAAAACATGCTTGATTTGCTCGTTATATAAATTTAACCAAACTTCTATCCGTGTATATTAATATTAGATATACTTTATTAATGAATGAAAAGTTTGTGTGTTTATAGAATCCATTAGAACAAAATGAGATAAACTCGACATAGAACAGAGAGTTAATCCGCGATCGTAGAGCGTCCGTAATTAAAATATACTCGTATCAACAATTAATACGCGAGTAGTATATTTTATCTCGAAAGCGCGAGCTTATTTCTGCCTAACGCGCTTCATCAAGTCACGCACAAATTGAATTCATCAGATTGATTAAATCTCACGGAAAACATTTAACCGATAATCTAAAGCGCCGCGTTATGTCAGTTTATTTTCCGTTTACACGGCGTGTCGTTTAATAAACGTCTGGAGCGAAACGAATAGCGAAATATGCGTTAGCCCGACACCCTCTAATTGCCGGAAGATACGAAATGAATATTCCCGATAAGGAAATATCGAGCGAGAATATCGATACGACACTTGCCGAGTAATTAGCCTGGCGCCGCCAGTAGTAGGAAAACTTGAAAATAGTCCGGACTAAATTCCCCGCTTTGTAATCAATACCCGGCGCAAATAGCCGTAGGACTTTCCGCGACTGCCGCCATATTTCCTCTCTATCTAAAGTATCACAATTACCGCGCATTTTATCAGTGACGATAAGCGTGCGGACTTATTGGAATTTTGACCATAATTTTCCGGGGCAAACGTTCCCGCGGAAAGGAGGAGAGGATATCATTATTCCGTTATTATAAGTTGCCGCACCGCGAGTAATTACATGTATTATACATACCGTGTACGTATATCGGCATCTCCCTGCTTATGTTATTACTCAGCGAAACTTAGTTTCGATTCAGGTACGTACGGATACAATGGTTCTTGCCGCGACGCGAGAACGCGTGACGTCGCCGCATGGGGAAAATGAACTTATTCATTAAACTCCTCTGGTTAAACTCGAGTTATAATTATCTAAAGAAAATGGGAATATCCTTGTTAATCTCTGATGAGCGCGCGGTATTTTTAGTAACCGCGAAGGCGAGATGCCTTCGCAATTTTCTCATTAATTGGCGGATTTGGGCGAGATTGAGGCCGTGGGCGAGGAAGCGTGATAAATGAATTAGTACGCGGCAATATTAACTGCCGCCGTGCCATCCGAAATTTTAATAGCGGTACTCCCCGACATTAGAAGGGCTAATTTCGTGTGGAAACGGAGAGGAGAACGAGAAAAAGAGAGAAACGCGGAATGGAGAGACCTATCGCGAAATAATTATGCGGAGCGATCTTTAAAATATGTTAATTGATTCGGAAGAGATTCGCGAAAGCTCTCTTCGCGGAAGAATGGAAAACCGAGAGCGAGGGAGGGGGAGAGCCGGAAACGCTGGCGGCCGTAAACAAAATGCTAAGAAAAGTCGGTGGGGAAGAGGAGGAACGCCTTTCGACGATAGCATCATTTTTCCCGCTTATACGCGAACGATGTATTCGCCGGATGATGGATCGAACAAAATGGATTCGTGACGTTTCCCCGGTGGCACGGGGGGTGAGTCGGGGAAAAGGGTAGAGGGTAGGCGGGGCGCGGCGCGAGTGTATTTTTCTTACGATGTGTCAAGAGCTTTATTCCATATCCGGTTGCAAGGTTTGACGAAACGCCGCGGACTATGTGACATTTAGTGCAAAATTGAATATCGATCGAATTGGAAATTGAGAACACGCCTATTTGATACGACGAGGTATATACGCGCACCGAATAACACCCCCGGATACCGGCGTACCGGATATTACTAACCGCCAATTTTGTTACCCCTCATTTAATTTCGCCGCTCGCCTAATCTCGCCCGCTATTATCCGCATCCGAGATTGGATATTCGACACGCGCGCCCGCGGAGGAAGAGCGAGGAAGGACGTTACGGAGGACGGCTGATCGGAAACGACGATCCGGAACTGACTTCTGCGAAAACGCACACCTCGCCTGTGTATATCGGACGAGACGTCTTGCATTTTTTATTATGGAAAACACGGAGCTTCACGGAGGAAAGTTACATGCGATGGGGATCTCGCTGCAGCTTGGCGCAAGAGGAAAAGACAGAGAGAGAGAGTGAGAGGAGAAAGAGAGACAAAAAACGCGTTACGATTCCAAATTGTGTAGAAGGCACTCTCTCTCTCTCTCGCGCGCACGCTCAGCACGGGGAAGAATTATGTCACTGTTATTCGTGGCATACGTAAGCCGACTGCATACACGTGAGCAAAATAAAAAGTCGGGACGGGACAGCATGTTTAAAGCATGTGTCGGGGGGGGGG